TGTTAAATCAAGTAAAGGCTAATTGACTCCTGGACAATTTAAACGCATATGCTACGGTTCCTTCTTATTGAGCAATATACAACATGTTTAATATATATAAGATACTATAATTCAACTTATCTGCTAGTTCTAAATGCTGCTCTGTGTTTGACAGGTCCCCACCAGATAAAAACAAAGGGAATTCAGACGGAACGTGAACTACCTACTCTCTTTTCCTCCGACCTTAAAGCATTTCACTTTTTAACCCCCTAACACCCCCAAACAGAAGGGCGGCGCCATTTCTCTTCCTCCCTATACCGCTGGTGTGGACATTCATCCCAGTTAAACATCGGCCGGACTACACACAACGTCCACGAAGATCAATCAGGCAAAACACGCCACCTCCATCCGCCGCGTTCCGACACCGCCCTCTTTTCCCCCAGAGTTTAATCCATCGAGACACGCGAGGGACAAAGCAACGCTGACAACCGCCATCCGCCCCCTTGTTTCCCTAGGCCGGGCTTTCCCCATTTCCCTACAACGGCCCTCTTCCCTTCTCAGCGCGCACACGCTGGCCGACGCTGTAGCGCGTAGGAACCGTTAGGCCTAGCGAGGGTTAGCGTGTTACGCGGCCGCCATCCATCAACACTACGAATACTGCGCAAACATCGCCAGAAGGCGCTCGAGGGACAAAGTTGCGGCACCGCTCATCGTGCGTGCGTGTGTTCGCGCATGGAAGCGGGTGTACGGTGACCCTCGGCCTATTTTCTCTGGGCAGCGCTCACTCATAAGCGTTTAGAGAAAAGTGGGGAGAATGGCGGAACTAAAAACTAGACGAAGCCCAGGTTTGGGAGGAAAAGGGGGAAAGGGGACAGCCGATAGTAGAACGCCATTTGTCACCCGCCCTGCTTCCGGCCTAGGATGTAATTAGCAACTCGGGAAGCGGATGTGTCTTTGATTGGTGACTGGTGCCGGTGATTCATATATATTTGTGTCGTCGCGTACTTTTGGAACTTGTATGCGTTTCTTGTTCATTTTTTTCGCTTAACTCTTTTGTCACAATGAATGTGGGCCGGACCGGATAGCTCATTTTTGAACGGTCGAGTGGCGTTTAAGTAAAACGGTGCTGATGGAATGCATGTATGCGTTTCCATTGAAGCTTTGGAGTATCTCTTTTCAAGGCGTCTTAAAAGAGCATTTATTATAAGGTATACGATTTATTGATACTACCAGCGTACTGTTAAGGCCACATTAAAATGTCATTTAACAGAATTAGAGCGGTAATAAAACACTACCGGTTTCCACAACCCAAAAATAAAAAAATAACATTTTATAGAAAACTTTTTATTTTCATGTTCGTTGTTTTCTTCTTTGATTCAGATAGAGGCAGGCCCTCTTCTTATCTGTGGAGGTTTACTGTCTACATACACATATGTAATAACGTTTGTGCTGAAGGAAGCTCGTGTGAGTATTAAGACATTTATGTAATTAGTAGTTTTTTTTCAATGGGGAAATGAATATCTATTGAAAGGCAAAGACACTAATGGCGCCTGCCGAGAAGGTGGATATTGTTTTACCCTTCAGTGTAACAAATTCTATCCTAAAAATATGTATTTTATTTGTTTTCTTTTTAGATCGCATACCGCACACCACCTCCAAACAACGGAAGCAGGAAGGGTAGAATAAAAAAAAATATTATGAATATTTCATAGGTTAATCTGCATTAAGGAGTGAGTCGTACAATCATCCCACGAACAGTATGGACGCCTAGAACTTAAACTATGTCCTGTAAATCTTAAGACCTGCTTCGTTCACTTCGTGTATATGCCCTTTTTCTATTTTCAACGAGTCCAGCACCGATGTAGCCTCTGTCTCTCTGGGGCTTCAAAGAGAAAACTATCCTAGCCGTGCAACTCGATCAATTGAACATTTTGATTGATAAGGGTAGCGGCGTCCTGGTTCAAACGACGGAGGAGCGAAGAAGATGGAATGGCCGGGAGTAGAGAGGGACACGTCTAACAACTCCGCCAGGGGGAAGATGCGACGAGAGCAGCTTCACGTCACGTCCGAGAGAGACACCTTGAGTGGACGTGAGGAGACTCGAAGGCGCTCGCTCGCTTTCGGGAAGAACAAACAAAAACGTGCCACTCAACGCGCCTTCGTGGCTCAAGACACGGGAAAACGGAAGCCTGATGAGGCGTATCGAAAATAAACTTTCGTCATCATGATGTACGACTAAACGGTCATAGGAGAAACAAACAAAGCGCTGACGCAAAAGTGGGGAGGTACTCAAATAAGAGCTTTTATTCCAGGGGAATAGTAAGAAAAAAGAAATTCTAGCCGATGTAATACCCTGATAGTTTGCACAGGATCTGTTCAATCTGCTGGAATCTTCGTTTGATTATGGGTGTAGAGGCACTAGGGAACCTCTTTTCTAACTTGGTGTGAGTACGAAAAAGTCTTCCTCTGTCTGAAAGCAGCTTTATAGGCCCCATTGTTTATGGCAGCTTTGTTTCATTTACTACATTAAATTAAACTGTACGTTTACTTCGATCTCATTCGGATATTCAGTTTGTCTGCTATCGTTAAACACATGGTTGTGCGTGGCTTGCATTTTGTGTATTTAAGTACGATTGGAGGCCGAGCATAATGTTGCGTTTTGTTTGTTGCGTGAAAATAATCATACGATTTGTTTTGTGCTTCTACATCAATGATTGTTCTAGCTTGTCGAAACTAGTGCCCACTATAGTGTGCCTACATTCTGGCTTGCCGCCGTAAGGAAATGCTACTCAATTAAATTTATTTCATCGTGTCTCTATCTTGCAACTCGATCCTACGCATAAAAACGGCTAAGACCTCCTTTTAGTTCCTTCAGAGCACGCAATGTGTGGCTTTCACTGATGCCCCATCAGCTGTCATTAAATTGGCCTTGCCATTCCCGCTTAGCACCTACCTTTTGCAGCGTACATTTCGCACTGCCGAAAATGTCTTTCCGGCAAGAACAAATAGGAATTACCACGAACAATTTGGAATAACGTCACGTGCAAAACATGCATTAAAGTGTCGCATTCATTGCCTTTCCCTTACGAAGTGACCGGCCATCATACCTATCGCACGCCCCACACCGGCCATCACCAATGAGAAGCACACTGGTCTCCACCCTTTGGTGCTCGACTCCGGTAAAGGCGAACCAATCAGTCTAGCCTCCACGCACGTGTAGCTTCCAGGGAAAGTTTTTCGCGATCTCGCAGTCTCGTTCTGTCCGCCCAGCAATTCGCGGGAAAACGGATGGGTCCAAACCCGGGGAACAAGCCGCGCTCGTTCTCGGACTAATACGAGACCCCGGGAAGCGAACCTGGTTGGCACAAAGTGCATGCCGGGGGACTGCTGAGATGGCGGCTCATTCGGGAAGCAGTAGCAACCGGTTCATTATGGGGCAGCGGGTGTATCCCGTTCCGCCCTAAGGAGACGGTGCGGTGGAAGCTAGGTGCACGCCGGACCAATCAGCCTCCTCCCCTTTCATCATCTGACCCCGCTCTCTGCGCGCTGGTATGGGAGGGAGCGTGATCACGTGGCGAAACATAGGCGTGTGACTGGTTGAACGAGCACGTAGCTCTCCACCCCAGTATCGGCTTAGGGATGAAGGGGTGTGGAAGGTCGTTGAGTGTTCGGTCGGTAGAGCCCTCCGGGTTCTCCTTGCTATTCGAGGACGTGGAAAAAGTTGCCTGCGAAAGGGTAGCGACGGGGAAGTACCTCGATGTGTGTCAGTTTGTTTGCTTCGGGGAGTGGTTGTTTTGAGGAGGGCGAGGAGGCTTCCCTTATTTGACTTGTGTTTGAAAGGGGCGTCTGTCGAGTGGATTAGTTTGGCGCGGGCGGTCACTCTAATGAGATAACTTTGGAGTCTCATTTTACGGAATGTTCGTCTGTTTCTCAGTGACATGGCGACGTTGGTGTGTGTTTTTGTCCTGTGGATGTCTGTGAAAGTAAAAATCTTCCTGGACATACGATCATCTGCAACTCGAGGACGAACTGACTCCAGATGTATATATAGATAATCTTTCAGTCGGATTATATTTTAACAAATAGAAGAAATACTGCTTGTGTAACGGTCCCACGCCATGAATACGTACCTGCCATTTAATAACAACAGAGAACTGCTACTGTGGCTGAGCCAGTAAGAGGTTGTGTTATTCGACATAAACAGCACCAGAAAGTTGTTCTTGCAAGAAGCCATTTCCTTGCTGATGTATTATTAATATTTCTTGCGAGACCATTATTCAACAGTGGGAGCTTCCGTTCACGTGTAAAAGGTGCAACACATGTGCAAATAGCCACCCGAAAATCGGACTGAAATCGGGACACGTGATTGTTGCCTCATGCTAATTTTGAAAAAAAAAACAAAAAAACTTTTTACTCTACGCAGACTGAGAATATGGTTTCGTTAAAGCCATATTAGCAATTTCCGTACTGCAAATATCCCCGCATAGATTACTTTTTGAAAAATGGTGTGGAACTACTTCTTCAGGTTTCATTTTCCGTGCGTTTCACAGTTAGATTTTCGCGCATGTGTTACAGTCTTAACACCTACCATATATATATATATATATATATATATATATATATAGATAGATATATAACGTGTAATAGATGCGATATATATTAAGGCGGCTGCGCGGCCATTGCAATATGATGTTTATAAAACTTTTAATAAGCAAAAGTAAAGCTCAGTATTGAACTTCAGGTACGCCTAGAGAAACATCATTTTTCGTTGAATTCTGGGATGAACTCAAAAGATCGTTGAAGGAATAGTGTGGGTTTTCTCTTTCTTATTTTCAGAGAGCCGTTCAACTGAATCTACACAACACCTCTCAAATTATATCCTTGTCTTATTTTGGCATTTCAAAAAGGGCTTTAGTTTATGGCATATAGGCTCGCCAGTGTTTGGCGTCGTTTGCATAACGAAAAAGTGAAACAAACTAACACGAATTGAGATTCAAACTTTATGTTTTCTTTCTTTACAGCCAGCGTCTCAGAAGGGCTTGACATTTGTGCCTACATCCTCACAACATGCTCGATACTCATCATCGTCGCAACATTTCCAATTTCCCTCATCTTTTGTATCAAGGTGAGTGCATTGAGAAATGCTCCTTGGTTTCACTATCACATTGCATGGGTTTTATGCAACTATATTTATGGCACTGCATCTTGAAAATATACCTTCTTTCGGTTTGTATTTGCAATTTGTTTAGTGAAGGCGGTCCATTTTATTACATCTAATTCAATAAGTGCAAGTAATCTTCAAACAAACCTAAGTTTATGAAGCACTGCATAAGGTTTTTTATTATTGGTAGTTTAACTGTTTTGCCTACTGTTTTTCAGATAAACTATACTTCATTTCCAAGTCGTCTTTTCTTAATAATAGTTGTACCTGTGTCGAACAAAACTTGACATTTCTTTTATCGCGCCTCAATTTCCTTCAAAAGCAAAAAGCAAAAAAAAAAAAATGGCACGAAAACTTTATTTTGCAGCACTCTTTTATGTTAAAAAAGCGAAGAAACACTAGTTGTAAGGTAGCCAGTTGCTAAACTTACTGGGTTAAGATATGTGCAGGTCTCTGCTAGGCAGTCTTTTACTATATAAAAATTAAAAAAAAAATATTAAATCACTAAAACATATGGCGATATCAGGTGTCTGTCTTCCTCGTAAACAAGGTCTCAGTCATTGTTTTTTGGGACTTGATGACAGTTCCTAGAGTTGGTATCTGGCCCAATTAGCTCAAAATAAAGTAATTAGTGCCTCCCTACCCACAACTATTGTTATCAGTTGGTGTAGGCTCTCGCGTAAAGTTAGGAATGCACATAAACCATAAAAAATGATATTGGATTTCGAATCAATTAACAACGGTTTTATATAAATTAAATGATGCTGATTGAAATGAACCTCATTGTCAAAATTCAACAGCACTTTCGTGGCTAATAAATTGAGATAAGTTTGAATACGCGTACTTGGCAGATTATGAACACGATTCTAGTAGTTGTTAGACAATACAAAAATTACTAGAGAAAAACAAAAATTATCGGTAATGATAAAGTCTCCGATAACGAGAATGTTTTGGCTCTCCTGTGTTTACACGGGCGTTTTTTCTGAACCAAATAGTATTGAACTAAAAACAATAAATAAAGACTTGCCTGAAGGCAAGAAGGAAAATACCCTATGCATATTTAGTTCGCCACTATACCACATAAAGTAAGGGCTAATTTTTTATTGTTGTCATGGGACAAAACGCATGCAGGTTTGGGTCGCAGATATGAAACAAACATACCAAAGAACGTCGAGTACTGAACGGGCCCGACTTGTGAAGCAGCAACAAACAATATGTTGGTGCATTTTGTTCCGAAACAGTGGTATAAAAGCACGACCAAATAAGAGGCGGCCAGATATAGCTCCGACTTTGCTCAAACAGTTAAGACATTTTTTTATGTAGCTTAACTTGACAGTGACGCTATTGCCTACAAGGAAACTCGACCTCCATTGCATTGTGAATTGGTCTTGTTTTCAGTGAACTGACCATATTGGTTGCTCAGAGCCTCCCATAGCAAAAAAGAAAAAAAAAAAGAAAAATACACATGTTGGTTTGATGGGAGTTTTGCGAAATCGAAACCGAAATAATATTACTTGAAGTCATTACAAGGGTTTATAAAATTATAAAACGATCGTGTATTACGAAAGAGCCACAGATAGTATTTGCTGCGAACAGCGACAATTATGCTGTCAGTTCCACTAGATTTGAAGTTTTGACTCCAAAAAGAGATTTGCGTGTTTACTGGGAGTAAGAACCATGCCGTTTATGTTCATGGTACCGTGCGAACTGCAAATCAAATCAGTTCGGTGGCGATGCTCATCTTGCATTCATTCTTAATGACACGATTTGAACAGGCAGCGAGTGAAAAACTGCGTCGTTTACTGCCCAACTGTATCACTAGATGCATGATCCACGAGGTGCAGCCTATCTCACGTTCGGCGAGACGAGCGCGCATTTTTAATCCGTTAGCCGCGTCTCAAACGAGGGCAACGACAAAACTCACGCGTCTGCCGTCTCGCCACATGCTTTCGAAGCACTTTAGCGCATTTACCACTTGGGTCGGATGAGGCATCTACCGGGTGTCCCAAGAAGCGGCAAGGCTCTTTAGATCGAGTGCAAAATTCGGTTTTTTAACCTATCGCGCAAGTATTTCGTGCACTGTTTCCCGCAGATGAAGCATTAATTTTTTTTTTAATTTGCGAAGAGCGAAGCTACTTGAGAAAAAAGTAAAGAAAGAAAAAGGCTTAGCTTCTATGGAAACGCAACAAAGCTACCAGTCTTCAAACAGTACGGATCCTTTTAACACGGGAGACAAGAGATGGCGCAAGAGGTCACGACGCCAACTACCGCCAACGAACGAGCACACGGCGCCGAGAGCCGGCGTCTTTAGCAGACGATGTTTTCGACTCAAAAGCGGTGCGAGCTTCTTTAATACCAGTTGTCAATGCATTATTTTATCATCTTTACTAATAAAACACATTGAATGGACACATAATTGATTTAAAAAATGGTTTGTCGGGTTATTTTGACGGTTTTTTCCGTGGTACTTGTGTTGTCTGCTTTGCAGTTTCTTGTTGTTACCGCGCCTGTTTGTTACTGCGACTGTCGCCGCCTGCGAAAGGCGCGCCGCTTTTGAGTCGAAAAGATCGTTTGCTAATGACGCCGGCTCTCGGCGCCGTTTGCTTCTTCGTTGGCGGTAGCTGGCGTCGCGACCGCTTCCGCCATTTCTTTTCTCCCGTGCAAAACTGCGCTGTATTGTTTGTAGACCGGTGGCTTCGCTGCGTTTCCATAGGAGCTAAGCATTTTTTTCTTAACTTTTTCCCCAGATTTAATAAATCAAAATTAAAACAAATAAAAAACAAACAAAAAAAAAACGCTATTTGTTGGCAACGCTGCACAAAATCGTAGGGCGATAGGTTAAGAAACCGAATTTTGTGGTCGATTTACAGAGCCTGGCCTCTGTTTGGGACACCCGGTAGTAACAATGACGTAGCGTGGAAGCTTCCTTTCTTTGGTAGGGCTAGATTTCGTGCCATAATTAGGTGCGCACTTAGTGTTTCAGTTTATGGTTACTGAAAGCTTAACAAACTCGGGTGTGACTAAGCGTGTTCACGCGTCCTGTGTTGTGATTCGTTTATCTGTGTTCAAACGGCTAAGGCCCCAATCTAATTGACTGCGGAACTAAGGAACTTGGGACTAGACTCGTACCGCGTACCTTTAGGCGTCAGTGACCACCCGAGTGAAAAATCTTATATGCATAAGGAATTTTCGGTCCAATAAACACATGATCAGATGATATCATAGTCATCGCATTCGGTTTGAGTTGGTACCGCGATGGCGCCACAGTAGACTTCCGGTGGAGAATTTATTTGTTCTTCAGCAACACAGAGCGATCGGGTAAGAAGATTTTCCTTCGTAAAAGTACCTTTAATGCGTTTGCAAGAACCGAGCGCTTTGTAGAACGCAGTACACATAACAATAAGATGTGAAACAAAAGGAAAATAGAAAGAGAGGAACATTGGGAGCGCGCAGGGGTCCGCCGATAGCGGGCGTTAGTGAGCTCGTTTGTACACAAACATCGGTGAATAACAGCATATAAGAGCATTATATGAAGATATAAGTAAAATATAAGATAAGATAAGAAATAGTAAAAAAGCTTATCAGGCACTTAAAAGGAACTTCTTATACCAGCTTCATTTAACTTATGATATACTCTTTTACGGATCCTAGAGGTTCTTATCCCCATTGAAAATTTTCATTTGTATGAGAAATTTCGGTGTCCAATAATCACATATGAACCATACAAGATAAATAAGAACATATAAGAACCATATAAGCGCTATATCAAGACTATATAGCATATATAAGAATATATAAGAACCACATAAGAAACTTGTGAGAGGTTTCTTATAAGCTTCTTATAAGGTTCTTATATGTTCTTATATACCTTAAATAGTTCTTATATGGTTCTTATGTGTTCTTGTATCTCTTGTGTGATTCGTGTGTGTTTATTTGACAGAAGAAGTTTCTCATACTAATGGCTTTTTCACTAGGGATATCAAATCAAATCAAAAAGCTTTATAATTTGTTTCATCAAATGTGTTTGCTGGATCGAGAAATATCTTACACAAACATTATTTTCACTATGGTATAAAGAGATTTTCTTGCGGAGTAACGTTGTTCCCTTCACATCGTTTTGTATTTCTGGAAGCTTGTTATTAAATATGTAATACCGCTTCCAGCTTGCGCTTCGAATAGGTTTTCGGTAAGGCGAATGTTAGCCAGCGATGGCAATGACTTTCTATGAAAATGCAATCTGCGAAAACTCTCAATTTAAAATCACATCCTTTCGTTGGTTTCTATTATAATGCCTAGAAGAAGGCACCTTCGAAGGCTGTGCTTAGCGTCATAGACCTCCCGTGGATCGGAAGGGGTCCCTAATTGGTAGCAAATGACATTACAAGAGCCGGCGTGCCACGCTATCGGGAGTCGCATGCTGCCCCGGCAGTTGGACGCAGAAGTTCTGGCGAAAAGGCTGAGCGAGCTGGAGTGGTAGCGTCTGAACATTTGCCTGTTGAATACTCCGGGAACTATGCGAGTCTGGAGAGCGACCGACAATAGAGGAGGCGTCTTCCGAATCCACCTCCGCTGCTGCGGCATCGCCAGGATCGCGGCAGACAAACAGCTTTAGTATTCGACGACTTCATTGGGCTGAAATCGTGGGATCACAAAAGAGGACGCGGCAAACAAACACGTCGGAGGCACGTTCCAGGCAACAAAGTTCCTATGGATATCTTGTTTGAAGGAAGGGACACTCTCATCCGAGTAAATGCTGTCTTCATCCTGGCCCAGGGAAATGACTTACCTTGCTTTCTGTGCTCTTTTGTCACGAGCCAGTGCTTCAATTCCGGAGTGAAACGAGCGTGCGTTCGCCGTTTATGGCGAGGCAGAGGTTCGGCGTAAACGGAAGCGGAAACCGGGGGTAATGTTGCGCCGATTTGCCGTGCGGTAGCAACGTGGAAACGGTGCGTGGACCTCCGGGC